CCGCAAAAAGGAACTGTTTTCTCATTAAAACACGACGTCATAAGTAAAACAGCTGTCGCACTGTAAATGGGTTGGCGTCTTATGACGCCAACCCATTTACAGTGCGTTTTTAGCAGATACCTTACATACCTAACTAATTACTGAAAATAAATATAAGTAAACGTGAAAATAATTAAAAGCTAGGATAGTAAGGCAGTGAGGCTGACAAGGAGACTTCTTAGCCAAGTGTAAATCCACGATCTTGTCAAAACTCGGTATATTTGCTTCTTATCTATGTTGATGACGATTGACGGTGATTTGGTCAAAAACATGGAAGGAGTTCTCAAATCGAAAAGTAATAGAGGGACTACCTCCCAAACCACCCATTTCGAGTCAGAATATCACCTAATACTTGAAAAAAATTGCACACAGGCACGATTCTTGTCGCTGCACGGCCGAGACGAGCAGAGCGCCTGATGGTAGGCAACTTCTTGCCTTCAGTGTATGGGTGTACTGCGGGATGGCCTACCCTGCGTCTCGCAGGCGCCAAGCTCCCACAATTTTCCGAATAAACCTGAGAGAAGTACGACGTACTTTCTGGACGACACATCGTAAGCAAGCCATAAGCGAATGATTTGGTTATAGACGACGATACAATGCGGTCACAATTCTTAACTGTAGTGTCCGTAATGTTAAACCCTACAAAAAAAACCTACAAATTATTTTTAAAAATCGGATGAAGGCGGAACGACGCCTTACTCTTAAATTGGTATCATCTGCCTTTAAGGTCGATCCTTGATTGAAATTGTTTAACCCTTTGGCCGATTCTGCATGGTAATTACGTTTAACACACTCGACAATTTTAGATCGATATTCGGCCATTTTGGGGCCGGTCCGCTCAGGTCCGTTTTCGTCACCTCTACATTTCTTGTCGGCGGTTTGAAAAAGAACGCTTAGAGCTACAGCACAAACGATGGCATATTCAGAATCCTGAGAAAATTTTGCATCGGTTTAATGCAGGTTCTGATTTTAAGGGGTCGATAATGTTTTGCCTACAAATGCAAATTGAGTGATTTGTGAGAAAAGTCTGGAACTGCCCTAAACTATGTATGGCTTATATCTTCCTAAGTATTGGAGCTACAGCGAGGAACCTTTGCAGGAATTTACCAGTGTGTAAACCACGCAGAATCGGCCAAAGGGTTAAGAAACGGCAGCTGTTTTAGTTATATCGAGTTTTAATAAGAACACACAAAAAAGACTGCTTTGCGGCACGCGGCACGGTTTAGCGTTGTCCCACCTCAAAACTCTTTTAGGACGTTACACTACGGCGGCGCACACAAATTACGAATTTTGGATTAGGGGGGG